ATCAAACTATTAATAAAATTTTCTTTAATAAGTTAATTATTAGTATAATATAATAATCTTTTATTAAATAACAATTAAACTTTAAATTTGTCAGAATTAATATTTTTTATTTTTTTATTTTAATACTATTAATCTATTAATCTATTTAAATCTTTTATATTTACCTACTTTGATAATATAAAAATAATATGTAATTGATTATATTCAATTGTTTTTGAAATTTTTTATGTTTTTTCTTTTTACAATCTTAAAAGTAAATCTTTAAAATCTTATTGCTTTCAACATTATTATTTATATAATTTAATTCTATTATAAATAATGAATAATATTAACCTATTATGCTTTTCTTATTAATGATAAAGTAAATCACATTTTGTAATATTGGGTAATTTGTTATTCATAAAAAGGTTAGTATAATTACAAGTATGCTGTTTTTTCTGCTATTATATAAAAGTATCCCTTATATTTCTCTAATAAGATTCATCTTTAATACTTTAATTCCTTAATACTTTAATTTGTGATCCACAATTACAGCGATATATTAGATCTAAAATGTGACTTTTTGAATTGCAAAATATATTATTGAGTGAAAGAAGCATTCGATTTTTCGAAAATCAATTTCAATTCTTAATATTTTTTTTTGCAAACCAAATTTTCAATTGATATAATTGATATATATTATTAATTCTATTATTCATTTTTAGGATGACTGTTTCCAAATGTACTCAATTTGGATTTATTACATTTATTACCGAAAATCTGTTATCTCATATTAGGCTCTTGAGGCGTAAACTTACCTATTTCTTTTTTTTTTTTTAAAAAAAAAAAAACAGAAATTTTGTGACCTACAAGTCTAAAAGATCGGTCTCAAAGAGTAAAAAAAAAAAAAAAAAAAAAAAAACCGATTATCTTATAGAAGCTCGATATTTTTGAAGACCGGACCGGATTGGACCGTTTCCAATCCCTAATTTTAAACAATGCCTTAAACACTCGTCACAAATGTTTCTATTTGATATCGCATCGTTACGTGATGAACGGTGCTATGAAATACATCCATAAGACAAATTAGCGAATCTTTGTTTTTTTTTTTTTTTTAAAAAAAAAAGGAAAAAAATAGCATCGACATATAAAAACCTAGTTATGAAACAAGAATTAAGTAAAAGAAGTTGATCATCATATGGAATTCTACAAGATAAATAAATAAATAAAAAAATATATTATTTTTAATAATAAGATGCTCACGCATACATGGAATGTCATCGTAATGAAAAGCGGACATTAATTAAGTCCTAACGTAGTGATGACATGATCAAATTAATCATAATATACACTTACAGTAATTAACAACAACTTTTAAAAATAACAGTCCATAGCACGATCATCATCATCATCATCCATTATATCCGCATCTGTCATCATCTTTGTAGTGACACTATCTAGTGCTTCTTCGTACAAATGTTCAACATCAATAGTTGCTTCAAGACGTTCATAATCAATAAGACAAATATTCTGATAAAAATTAAAATGTTTCTGCATTAATGAAGATGGTTGATCAAAAAGTCTTTTATGTGAAAGTTGAGAATCGTCAATACTATTTGGTAATGAAAATGACGAATTCAATTCTTGGGTCGCAACTATCTCTTCAAGATACAATTTAAGCCTTTTAAGAATTACAAGTACTTCACCACGAACTAGTCGGCTTGGATCTTCGGCCTATATAAATAAATTATGTTTAACCGCCTTAATTACAAATAACAAATTTCATTTTCATTGATAATACGTACAGCCTTGACAAGTAATTTATCACCATCCAGCCAATAAAACCAAGAGGAGTTTTTTCCTATCAGTAAACTACCACCACTCAAATATATATTATGCTTCGTCCTTTTTTGTCCATAACTCAATCGATCTTGTTCACAATGATCCCATACGGATATCAGAAACTTACACCCATTAATTCGAACATAAAAATCTGGATCGTCCATGATTTTGTCCATCACTTCAGGACTAATATAAAAAAACAGTTTTTTTTTTTGGATTTAAAATTTGAATTTCTAGAAATGATAAAAAAAAGGAGAAATACAGACCTCATAATATCTGCATTTCGATCATTCAACAAAATTGCACCGCATTCTCGTTCATCAATTAGACAAGT